CAATTTGGCCATCTCAGCAAGCTCTATCATCTTCACCAACCATTCCTCCATTGGAGGTATTGCCAGATCTTTCCATCTTTGCACGTACAATAATCTCCTGTTGATATCATATATAAAAACAAAGTTCCATGACTTTTTCCCAACTCTTTATCCATCAGTCCCAAGAGGAAAAATTCTGATTTCAGTTATATGTTAATCTTTAAAATCCTCTGAATCAGTGTATGCATTTGAACCCAAAATCTTCCAACTTTTTTGCATGTCCACCAAGCATGGTACAATGACCCTTCTTGTTGTTCACATTTCCATCATAGATTTGAAGTACCGTTAGACATTCTAGATATTTTTTTCTAGTGTCATATACCAACAGTACATCATTTTATAAAAGTTTTCTTTAAGATTATAACATAGTGTAAATTTCAAACCTTTCAACCACATATTTTGCCATTGTTGCATCTGTATATTATAACCACAGTTTTTAGCCCACTTTATCATACATCACTTGTTCCTCTTCTGTTTCAAATTTCAATAAAAATTTATATATCTTAGCAATCTCTTATTCACCATTTGTACACAATTACATTTCAAAGTCAGTCTTAGAATATTCAATACCACAAATTCTTTTGTCTACTTGGAATCTTTTTGATAACTACAAATAGGAAAACCATTGACAGTTATGTCCCTCTGCCATCAGTTGCTCTCTTGATTTTATTTTTTTGATACTTATTTTTATTTATTTTTATTTATTTTGTATTCTCCTTGGCAGAATTCTAGTATCTCATGGTATGTTAACCATTTTTGTTTGCCTATTATTTCTCGTCTGTAGAACGCTTCTTGTGCTAAGAGCCACAAAGGTGTTTTTGGGCACAACCTGGACTTATATCTATTCCCTATTCTCAGTATGGCCCATCTAACATAGTGATTTTTAAAATTTACATTAACCTTAACTTTATCGCACCACAAATATCCATGCCACCCAAATCTCAGGTCATGTTCTTCTAACTCCAAAAGCCTTCTGTTTCTCAGCAGCACCCACTCTTTCATCTAAACAAAGCAGCAAGCTGCAAAATACAATTTCAAATCAGGTAAACCCAATAATCCTCTTTCCTTTGCATCTTGTAATACCTTTCAAGAACTACACTGTGTGCACAATTATTAGGCAAGTAAGTATTTTGACCATATCATCATTTTTATGCATATTTTCCACTTCCAAGCTATATAAACCTGAATGCTTAG